GGAAACTGTCTGACCTCACAGCATTAGAATTTGTTCGCTAGACGGTAGGCGGGTACTTTTTAATTTAACCAATCGCTGCTATTTGGTCGTGATGTATGTAATGCGCCTCTAACAGGGCTAACTGGTATATTACCGTATTTTCCGGGCTATTAGACGCGCTCTTAAGCCTCTAACCCCATCAAAAAACGACTAAACAGAGCACCTATACACGAATCCACTCAGGTGTCCCAGCACGACTTCAGTAAACTACAAAGCCGCACCACCCGCAGAACAAACAAACACACACGGAGCAGACAGCGACCGCACAGAGAAACACATCCGCAGACACATTCATCACTCCACACGGACGAGGAACAGAACGGAGGAACGAACCGAAAAAGCGAGTGCAATGTGCCACTTCTAGACACGACTGAACAACTGAGTCACTGTGAACACGCCGACAATCCGTTGGTCCCAGACACACCCTCCCTACACGCCACAACTGAACAAAGCCCAGAGTCACCGTGAACGAACAAACAAACAAAACCACTCACCCATCACACTGTGTTTTGTTTAAAGTCCAGTGTGGTGTATTTGTGAAAAAAGTTTGAAAATCGACCATATAATGACAGTGCGTTTTATAATCCAGAGCGACTAATAGCCCAGAAAATACAGTAAGCTTTTCCCAAATCCCGAAGAAAGATGTACAATAACGTCTTTCCTCTTGATGATAAAATGCACCAAACATTCTCTTTGTTCCAGTGTGAGATAGTATTTTGACCATAGTATACTGACCCCATGGTCAACATTAGGGCTGGTTATCATTATGAAGTTGCCGATACGATACATACCTCGATACATAGGCCACGATACGATACATATCTCGATACAGTGAGCTTTTGATTCAATATGATATATTTCAAATCGATTCAATACAGTTCAACAAAAATAAAGACTAAATCAAGTCTGTGATATTAAAAGGCTTTGTTAAACCAATTTTTGTGCAAAGTTCATATGAAACACAAACATTTTAATCAACAAAACAGTGAAAATGTCAAATGTGTCACATAAAAAAGTTTCCTTCCTCTAAACAAGCAACAAAACTGTAGCTCTGTAACAAAATAATTTTGTAAAATATACCAAAAAGTACTCTTGGTGATATATCGATACAGCATTCCATGATATCGATACTGTATCATCACATTAAGAGATACGATATATCGATATTTCAATATTTTTGCACACCCCTAGTCAACATAGCATTATAGTAAAGTGACCCCCCTATAGGATTTTGACTCCTCTTACTTTTTTCTTTAGTAGTTACTTATCTGATCATTATTTCTCATGTCATTTACTTTGATTATATATTGCTACATATTCACTTTCTTTTAAGGTATTTTAAGGAATGTTTTGATGGAGAACAACTTTTTATTTTGTGTAAATGTAACGTATTGTTCAAATTGCATGTACACAGCAATCTTGTCACTTTTTATATTGTATTTCACATTGTTATGGTTTTTAGTTTACTATGTTCAGATAATCCACATGTCATTTTAAGTTATTGATTACAGAAACCATTTAACAAATCATCTCCTATCATCTATTTAACTTCTCTATTGATCTTTAGCAAATCTTCTCATATCCCCTATTTAACTACTCAACTGTTTAGCCCAGTCTATTGGAACAAGATTCCAAATCATTATACACTTTGATTACTGAACTACTTAATAACTACTTATCTCATTTTCAGTAAAATATGTTTAAACAACCAAGTCATTTTTAACATTCAAAAATTATAATCAACATAAAAAATGCATCTGAGTTCTTCAAAAAACAGTTTTTCTATAGATTTCAAGTTCTTTATTAATAAAATATAGATTTTCATAGGGGAGTCAGCATTCTATAGGGGGGTCAACATACCATAATAAGATTCTGACCCTGGGGTCAAAATACTGTATGGTATGTTGACTCCGGGGTCACCTCACCGTGGGGTCAAAGTCCTGTACCACTCCAGCTTTAAAGCCTTGATCTCAGGAATCGTAGATTTTCAAAAAACTTGCAGCAAAAACTAAATTTTTAATTGATGTAAAGTAATTTGGATGAAGTCACCTGGAAGCCTGAGAGCCAAGAAGAATTTGTCTGAGGGCCACACTGTAGTTTGGACATGCCTGGTCTAGTGTATTCTGATTCCTGACCTAGAGCTGGAGAGAAATGAAATTGAGCAGAGGCACTAGGTGGCTCCAGCCTGACTAGTCTAGTGTTACTGCATTACTTAAATTACAAACTTGATTTCAGTACCTAGGAGTAGACTCAATACTCAATACCAATTCTGATACCATATTAAATCAAAACTAAATAATGTGATTTTCAACATTAAATCCTAGTACTTTATATGTGTGTAATCCTCAGTGATGCAGTAGGTTCCATAGTGGTGGTCCATGAGCTTCTACTTCTGATACAGCTCAACATCATTCTGAAACTATTCAGAGAAGATTTTGAAAAGAGTTTTTTTTAGTATCGATACCTGCTCAAATGAGTATCTCGTTTCAGTTCTAGTTTTAGTATGGATTAGTATTGGATTTTTGATACTTTGATACTACTCTAGAAAAGAGATTAACAACTTGGTAAAAAAAAATAAAATAAAACTATTCATCGTGGGTTTGTTTTCTCATAATGTGCCACTTTGAGAACTCTTAAAAAAAACAAAAAAAAAACTCTCTTTTTTATTTTTTATTATTATTGATCGCTAAAGCAACAGTGGTCATTTTTCATCTCTCTGACACTCATGGATTTTTTATTTTTTTTCCCCAGGAATCAATACCTTTACATTCTTCCGGTACTTGAATCTCGTGTTTTTGAGTGATGTTTTTCCAGTATGTGTGCCTGTTTCTGCAGATGTAGTGACACTGTTATTGTCTATACTGTTTTTAGTGCTGTGCTCCCAGAATCCACCAGGCATCAGACGCCCAACTTCTATTACCATTTTTATGGTTTCATTATTTTATTATTTCATCTTAAATCTTGTGACACTTTTAATCAGAGCCATTTATTGTTACTAGTGTTACAAGCACTTTTTTTATATTCTGAATTGCACCACTGTATTCTGCATTCATTTCTTATTTTAGTTCAGTTTTAGTTTATTAAAGAAAGAATATTTTACTTCTGTGGGGTATTAATTATTGATTACTTTGGGGTATTGACTCCATAACACATGATATATTTAAATCCTCATGTTACCTTTTACTGTTTCAACAATACTATAGTCACCTAAAACAACATCTTAACATGTTTTAGACGTTTCACTATTGTTTTTGAAGCTCTGAGTCTGAGTCTCTCCTCCCTTTGCTCCCACTCCCCCTTCAGAGCGCTATCGTAACATAATAATTTAAGTTGCTGTGTACAGTTTTGAATCCCGCTTTTGTATATTTCGAGAATTGTCGTGTGGGAGCATGGGTGATGTAGGCTTGTGGGCGGAGCCTTGTACAGAATCTTACAGTGAACACTAAGAACAGTTTGAATACGGCCCGAGATCACTAGATCACTCAAAGATGGATGGATGACAGCTAAAACCTCTTCAGGCGTGTTTTTGATGAGGGAACTCCAAAAATTACAGTTTGCATAATAATAATCTTTAATGAATAAGTCATATAATTATTGCCTTGTTATTGTCCTTTTGTATTAACATTTCTAACAGCTCCAGATGTGTCGAGGAGGAATCTGCACCACTGTACCCTGCTATGAGTCCTTTAATAGTGAAAAAGTACCAGTCAAGATTCTAAACATAGACCATGCTAAAACTCAAAGTCCATTCTCTATCTCTCCTCCTGATCATGTCCAGTGTAGTTTTGTGTCCAAGGCCCAGACCCTGCGCTGACCCTGTGTGTGAGATAAGCTCAGTCCGGTGGAACCAGGCTACAGCACAGGCTCATCCGTCAGAGCATCTGTGAGGAGACAGATGGAGACTGGCTGCTATCACTCACTAAAAATACCTCCTCCACCTCAGACTGCTCTCAAACCTGCTCACACACAGCGCATATGCCTGATGGAGGGGTCTGTCTCGGTATATTCAGTGCCTCCAAATGAGACATTTTTTGTTCTTACTAAAAATACAGTTTGGATTTTATCTGAAAACATCTGGATTAGGTGAGGTGAGGTTGTTTAATGTGGAACTAAACATTAAATCCACTTTTTTCAATACTAAACTAAACTGTGTATATGGTTATATCATTATACACTCTTTCTAGTCCTTTTTGTCAACTTCAGTGCAAACCAGGTAAACCTGCAGCTTTCTGGTCAAAAGCATCTACATGTAAGTGTGTGCTGCCTCCACTGTGATCTCCAGTAGTTGGTGACATCACACAGCACTGTCCTGATCACAGCCATGTGTTTGATACAAACATGTCCAGGTCCTGCCCACTTCAGCAGCTCGATTTAAAATGTGGGTGTGGGCAGAGTTTAGGTTTCTAGTCCCACTTAAACCTTCTACATAAGCAAGGAACCTGGACTCTTAATCACAAAATCTCCATCAGTCAGAAACCTGTGGACAATAACTGCTAACCTGATCAAAATCATCTCGTCCTTCTCAGATACATCTGTTTAATGTTTATTTTATCAAGAACAATGAAGACGCTTATTAATGCCATTGAAAACAAGTCTTAACTGCTCCAAAACCATACCTTTCCTGACAGACGACTGGTTGCAGACCTCCTCATTAACATGAGCCAAGATGATAATTGACCATTTGAAATGACTGGCTGTTGATTCAAATGTGATTATTTACGCTGCACTATTACAAACATTCATAACACTATTTAGCTTTAAGACAGAATATATCATCGTTTTTTGGTCTCAACCGTACCAAAACTCCTAAATATTGGGTGCTCTGACGCCCACTGCTCATGACAGGTTTCCCCAGCGGCGTTAAAGGATGCGTCATATGCAGAGGAAATGTTTTCCTACAGGAACAATAAAGGGTTCCTGAACCTTAATAACAGTATCTCCTCTCTGATTTTGTGTTCCAGACTCGTCTGAGGGCGTGTCTCTGCAGCTGGGGAACTCCAAAGACTTCATCCTGAGCCTAGACCTGAAGTTCAGCTCCAACGGCAGTGTGTCTGTGATCCTGGAGACCACAGAGAAGGGCCCCCCTTTCACCATCCACTATGTGACCAGCAGCCAGCTCATCACCTTCAAAGACAGAGACATCACCTACGGCATCGGCCCCAGGTCCTCCTGGAGCACCCTGACCAGAGACCTGCTCACAGACCTGAGGAAGGGTGTGGGACTGTCCAACACCAAGGCTGTCAAAGCCACCAAGGTCTGGCCCCAGATTATTGTCCATTTACAGCTGTGTTTCAGAGAACACAGGATCAGTCTGTGTGAGATATTTGATAAATATTGTAATGATTTTAAAATAAGTAAGAGGTGAAACTTTTGAAAGTACAGCTGTACAGATAACTCTGGTATTAAATCACGTCTAAGATTGAATAAGTTCATTAACACAGCAGACGTGCAAACTGCTCCAGATGAACTGACGTGTGTTTGTTTTGTGCACAGATCATGCCCAGACGGGTGGTGCGCCTGCTCCTCCACGGCCGTGGCTTTGTGGACAATGTGACCATCTCCACCACAGCTCACATGGCCGCCTTCTTCGCCGCCAGTGACTGGTTAGTGAGGAACCAGGACGAGCGCGGGGGCTGGCCCATCATGGTGACCCGTAAGCTGGGCGACGGCTTCAGACCTCTGGAGCCCGGGTGGTACTCTGCCATGGCCCAGGGCCAAGCCATGTCCACCCTGGTGCGGGCGTACCTGCTGACTAAAGACCAGACCTACCTGAACTCTGCCCTCAAAGCAGTGGGGCCCTACAAGGTGCCCTCTGCGCAGCACGGGGTCAAAGCTGTCTTCATGAACAAGTACGACTGGTATGAGGAGTACCCCACCATCCCCAGCTCCTTCGTGCTAAACGGCTTCATCTACTCTCTGCTGGGGCTGTATGACGTGACAGAGACGGCCGGGGAGAGGGGGGCCGAGGCAGCTCAGCTCTTCAGCAGAGGCATGGACTCTCTGAAGGCCATGCTCCCTCTGTATGACACAGGCTCAGGCAGCATCTATGACCTGAGACACTTTATCTTAGGCACTGCCCCCAACCTGGCGCGCTGGGACTACCACACCACACACATCAACCAGCTGCAGCTGCTCGCCTCCATCGACAGCGCCCCCATCTTCAAGGACGTGGTCCGCCGGTGGAAAGGCTATTTAAAAGGGATCCGGGCCAAGCACAACTAGACTGTCCTCCAGAGAGCAGACAGCAGGGGGCGCTCTGCTCCTGAAGCAGACTGGCTCTGTGTGAGTCTGCTGCAGCCTGTCGGAGCGGGGCTTTGTACTGGGACAGGCCTAGTGTAAAGAGTGTCTTCTGTGAGACTGTGGGAGGGCATCATGGTTACATCAGATTGATTTTTTTTTTTTTTCATTTTGTTTGTGGTGATCTTTCAGATTGTATTTTTTACAAATGAAAACAATATTTACATAGATGATTAAAATCAGGATAATTGTAAATAAGAGAGTAAATTATGAAGTATCAGTAGGAGAATGTTGCCAAAAATCCTCTAACAAAATACTTTCATTTTTTTCAGATCCGTTGGTTTTCTAATTTCAAATCCCTCCACACACACACACACACACACACATCTGCACACAAGCACACACACACACACACACACATCTGCACACACACACACACACACACACAGGGGCAGTGAATGTTTGAACACAGTAGCATGGTCCCATAGAGTTTCACAGACACAGTGTCCTGTGTCTTCAGGGCTGGTTTATAATGACAGAGGAGTTCCAGTGTATTTGAAGTATTAGCAGAGTGAATATGCGTTTACTATCAGTAGTTTGTGTTTAGGTGAGGGGAGTAGGTGGATCTTTATAAACTTGAATAGTAAAGAATAACTGGAGTGTCACACTGGGGACAGGGCATTTGGTTTGGACCGTTCTCGTGTTTGTAGGTCGTTCTTTTGACAGAAACAGTGTGATAGTCGTGTGATACTTCTACTGTAGCCGAGTCCAGCACAGATGAGAAAAGGGACATATGAGGGATGACGGTTTGAAAGCACACTCTCCTGCTTTCAGCTCTGAGACATGTCCACAGGTGTAAACACAAAAACAAAGGGCAGTCGTGTTGAAAAGTTTGTTGTGTTTTATTTGGGCAAAAAAGTCCAAATAAAACAGAACAAACAGTTTTATCTGGACAAAAAAGTACATCCACTTTATCCAATAATTAGGTTGAAATACAGGACATTCCACAATATACACAGTCAAGGCCAATACAAATGTGATACCCCAATAATGAGATGTGGTTTTGTTGGGAAATCGGGTCATTATAATCACCAGATTTTAGAGGAACTGTTGTATTTGAAAGACAAAGTACAGTGGCTCTTAAAATAACTCTTACATCTGTATTCTTTTTTTGTCATGGCCCCATTAGTTTACCTCTTTTTGCATAATTATTCTTGTTAAAATCTTAGAAATCAGATTAGTCACATCAGATAAACTGTTTACATAACATTTTAACAACAGGATAACTCCACAAATTGAACTGAAAATGATTTGCCCAAAGCAGAGAATATAAGGGGCGGAGCATCTCACCTGTCAATCACTTAAGGAGAAGTGGAGATGCCTCTTTGAGATCAAACCCTGTGTCCTCTGTAAACACTAGTGTAACGTTGGTGGTTCTGCAGTTGTATCCACCTCTTCACTTAGCACAAAGGCAACTTCCCACCGTCACAACAGTGTTTCCCTATGGACGAGCACCACTGCACGGGCCCTTTCTGTGTGAAGAGAGGCCCCGCTCTGCCCCGGGGGACGCTGGTCTCCTCTACACTGCACCAAGTTCATGTGAGCTCTTCATGCAATAACAACTGAGCTTTCAAACTTTGAATATACAGGGTGTCCCAAAACGTGACATTTCGCAAGGCAATATTTTGGGCAATGCTTGTTGAAGTAACCTCGAATTTTCACAGAATGTATAGAAACAGATCAAGATTTTATACTGAATGTTTTATTTGTTGTACTGTTTCAAATTTGTTTCCTCTTGCTGTATTTATGAAGATGAACTGGCGTCAAGATGACGCTCTGATAAAGGATAAACCAGGGGTGTCAAACTCATTTTGGTCCGGGGGCCATATCCAACCTACCTTGATCCCAAAGGGGCCGGATCAGAAAACTCATGTCATATAAACCCCCAAAATAACAATAAGTTCAAATATTTGTGCAGAGAAACGCAAATCTATTACAGAAATCTTTTTAAATTGATGAACTCTTTCTTTTACAAAATATTATATTATTATGAAGAACCTGAAACTTTAAGAAAAATGCAATTTCAACACAATATTTTAACATGAACTTGTATGTAAATAGGAATAAGTCAATATTTGTTGTAAAATCCTGCACTCGGCTCCACTTTTCTCATGTTGGACATTTTTCTGATGAGGGTGTCACGGTCAACAGTCAAAACGATCGTCCTTTAAGAGCGTTTGGAAAGAGACAAGTCTTCATTTGTGCTGCTCTGGTGGGAGGGGCCACGTACAGAGACACTGGAGACACTGCTATGCTCAGCACCGCAGAAAATTACCAATATTTTAATTAAAATATTTAAGTTGAAAATCAGCCAAGGGCCAGATTAAAGGTCTTGGAGGGCCGAATCTGGCCCCCGGGCCAATTAATAAGCTTAAGCTTCAGCCTCCACCTTTTCAGTCTGTGTATGTTAAATATGACTGTTTGTGAATTCATGTCAAAATATACCTATGACCGAAATAAATAATCAAACAATAATCAATAATACATTTTTGTTCTGTTTTCAGGTTGATCCATTCACTCCCAAATAGAAGTCATTTTGTGTTTTGGAATCTGCTCACACAGTCACAGCAGCCTTCCTCTGTACATTTTTGATACCAAGTCCAATTTTGTTTGCCAGTTGGAGAAGTTTTTCCAGATGTCGCATTGAAGCCTGCACAGAGTTGGGTGAGTGTGTGCAGCAGATTCCAAGACACAAAACTTCTCTTTGAGAGTGAATGGCTCAACCTGAAAACAGGACAAAAATAAAACATTCAATATAAAATCTTGATCTGTTTCTATACATTCTGTGAAAATTTGAGGTTATTTCATCAAGAATTGACAAAATTCTTGGCCTGTGAAATGGTTTTGGGACACTGTATATTATTTTCAGAAAGTCTATGGGGGAAAACAAACAGAAAATTGATTGGGAAATGTACTTCCAGCAGCAGGGGCAGGGGGCACTGTTGAGCTCCACAGTACAAGTACAAGTCAAGTACAGTTTTCAGGTGGACTTTAATTCAAAACACAAATATGGCTTTTGTGTTAATAAGGGCCCATTTTACACTATTTTCTGATCTATGTTCTGTTTCCTCGGGACAAACACACCTGGAGTTGTTTTGTTTCATTCACACATAATGAGTTTTTCTCAAACTGAAAACACACTGTTCCACTTTGTGATGTCATGTGGTAATACAGGAAGTGTATTACTGTGTCTTTAAACACACTTTCACTTGGTTCATTTCTGCTCTGGAATCGGCAACCTCTGCTGAATTAAATGTAAAAGGTTGATGTTAACTTGGAAAACTACAGCTTCATGACATCACAAGGTGGAACAGAGCATTTTCAGCTTTCAATATGTAGACAGAGCAGTAATGCAGGATTACTCAAACATGTGTGAATGAAACCGAACACCTTTAACAACACAAGACTAAGTTTTAATCAGCGAGACCTAACACAAAAATAGTCACATTTCTTCCTCCAAACTCTTGCGTCCTCCCCTTTAAAAACCCTCCATCTAACCATTAGCCGACCATTTGAAACGACTGGATTTTGATTGGATCTAAACTGAATTACTCGGCCCAAGTGACTACACTCCTGCCTCACACTTTACAATGGGAGAGCGAACAGTCGTGCTAAATATAGAAATGCTCAAAGTCTATTGTAATGCGTTTAAATCTGAAGTGGGTAGTGGGTTACATGTAGACGTGATGTTTACCAAAGTGTAGGACGCTGTGAAACTTGTGAATGAACAGTGAAGGGTAAACGCTGCCCTGTGGAGCACGAGGGGAGGCCTGTTACAAACACTACAGTGATGGGATTGTGAAACGTGCTTCTGCTGATGATTGTGCAGCTGGTGGATGTATCACACCTGGATTAGTGACGTGGTGTTCGTGAGGAATCCATGTATCATTGGTTCATTCATTTTTTAATATAAAACCAAAAATAGGAAAACAAAAAAACAACTGTTTTCCTCATTATTTGTCTCCAAAACCAAAATGAAAAACGGATAACGATTCATTTTTTCAGTTTTCGATTTTGTGTTTAAATGAAGAATGGAAAAAACGTTTACATGACTCCCGTGACTGCAATGCCGAACTGTTGCACTGCATACGGACTGAACCAGGACTGATCCAGGTCCGGACCAGAGTGGACTCTTTGAGCTTTGACTCCGAGCCCCCGAGGGGTCAGAGCCTCAGCTTCGAGCTCTGGCCCTGCCGTGGGCTCTGAGCCTCCGGTCTGGTCCCGGCCTAGTCTCGGTCTCAGTCCCGGTCTGGTCCCGGTCTGTTCCGGTCTGGTCCGGACCTGGATCAGTCCTGGTTCAGTCCGTATGCAGTGCAAAAGTCCGGCATCACAGTCACGAGTGTCACGTAAACGGGAAACGGTTGTTATCTGTTTTTTTTTCCATTCTTCATTTAAACACAAAATCAGAAACTGAAAAAATGAATCGTTATCCCTTTTTTCATTTTGGTTTTGGAGATAAATAATGAAGAAAACTGTGTTTTCGTTTTCTTATTTTTGGTTTTATATTGAAAAACAAATGAATGAATGATACACGGATTGTGAGGGAGTCGGCTCTTTTGGAACGGTTCATCAATTTGTTTTTAAAGAACCAAATCTTTTTCTAATTTGATTCTAATTGTAATACTGAAACTAACACTGAACCAACACAAAGCAAGAGGCAGAGGAGCTTTGTGCAGTTTTACCTCATTTCAATGGATAAACACAGTTCTACTTTCAGTTTAAAATATTTTAAATTCATCTTTGTGTCTCTGTCGACCAAATTATTCTCACATTGGCTTCTGTCATAAATTAAAAAAGAGCCGGTCTTTTGATGAACATATCCAAAAGATTCGAATCCCACAAAAGAGCTGATCTGGTGTGGTTTGAACAAACTGCTGTTGGTTGTTACAGGTGTTCTCTGAAAACGTGAAAACGTCCACTGTGCTCCAGAGCTGAGCCTGAGCGAGTCATGTTTCATGTGTGAATGTGTCAGAGGTTTTATTCAGACGACAGGGGAGTTTTGTTGATACTTTGCAGTGACATCACACTGGGGGTGTTCTACATTTATCTCTGCTGTGGAATGTTCAGCAGTTTCTAGACTAAAACTAAAACTGAAAATGCATGAAAATAGATTTAAACACATTTTCCGGAGCCTGTGATCAAGAGCGTTCATGGTTCTGTTTAGGAGTTTGATTTTCAATCCTCGCTGGCTTGTGTGTGTAATTTTGTGTGAGAGGGACTTCTTTAAGAGCACAAAAGCTCATCTCACCTTGTAGCTCAGCTAAATCAGTTCTTTCTGGGCAGATTGTGCTAAAATAAAGCTCAGATTAAAGTTTAACAAAGCTTCAGACAGAGCAGTGCTTCCAGTTAGCATCACACCCCCGGGGAATGTTGATGTGTACAAAGTATCAACTCTACCGCTCTTCATATTTGTATTTGATTTGAAATGTCTGGAGTTTCCTGTGAGCTTCTGTTGGACAGACAAAAGCACAAATGTTGTTTTGGTAGAACCTGGAGGTGGAGTAGAACACTGCTGTCTCCTCACTGTGTCCAGCCCACACAGCTTCACTTCTGTACAGCTCCTCAGCTGTTCCTCTGATAGACTCACTGGGGCCGGCGCCCCCTGGTGGATTTATGCAATAACTGTTTACTGTTCGGGGCTGTGACTGAGACCACAGACTGCTACAAGCACAATGTGCAACTCACCCTTTTTAGTCCCAGAGTCTTTCTATCTTTGTGCTTTCAAGGCTTTTTCAGATGTCAATAAAAGCATTTTCTTAAACTCTGTGTCTTTCTTACAGACGCACAATCACTATAACACAATGTAACACAGACGCACAATCACTATAACACAATGTAACACAGACGCACAATCACTATAACACAATGTAACACAGACGCACAATCACTATAACACAATGTAACACAGACGCACAATCACTATAACACAATGTAGGAACTCCACAATGGATTGCATTTATTGGAGACCTACATCAGAAGTTAACACACACGACACATACACACAGACACACACACACACACACACACACTTACATTATACTGCAATTTCCCAAGAATCGTTCACTGTTCTGTAATAACCGTGATGCTTGAATAGCTCTTTTTGGAACTCAGACACTTTACAGTGCAGTGTTCACTCCACACTGGTAGGGCAGCTGGAGGTGGGGTAAGCTACTATTGCAGCCACAGCTGCCCTGAGGCAGAAAGACAGAAGTAGCACTGCCAATCTGCTCCATCAGCCCCATGATGTTCCTCACTGGAAGCACATGTACCACAGAACACAAGAAACACTGAACCTCCAGACCACTGCTTTAAACTGAGACGCTCTTCACGTCACAACTACACATGGTTTGCTGTGGAGCTGTGTGAAGAGTTTTACTCTACACCACTGCCTCCACTCACGTTCACATGAACACAGGAGGAAGTGTCTCCAACAGCAGTGTGAAGCCATAGACACAGACACACTGTCCTCTGTGAGAGCAGCAGGGCCAAGCACGTCTCATTCATTCTTCATCCCCATCAGTGCGTCTGATGAGGAACACTGGAGAAAGCCTGTCCCCTCACGTCCACTCTGCCCCTGTCCACCAGCAGAGGGGGTAGAGGAGCCAAGTAGAAGTACACAGCAGAAAGTAAAAAGGTCTGACACTTAGATGAGACAAACTAAACCATATGTGAAGGAGCTGCAAGAAACACAAATGTTCAAATAATTTCAGATTGTCACATAAAGCATCTGTCACTTTATACTCACTCACACTTTGAAGAGAAAGCAGTACTTTTACTCAATAAGTAAGAGTACTGTTACACTATTACTCAAATAGGAGTAAAAGTATGTAATTACTCACAGAAGTACAAGACAAGTACATAAATGTGGACATACAGCCTGAATAAATCAAAACTCCTCCATACCAGATAAAAGTGCATGTTAAAATGACAGGGTTGTACACATACCTGGAGTCCTGTCCCTCCGCGGTGCCTTGGCCTCCTGGTGCCTCCTCCTCTGTTAGCTGTGATCACATTAGGCAGGTCCTGGGGCTGGTGGGGTCCGTGGCTTTGGTGCGCTGCATAAATTGGCCGCTGATGGAGTTAGTGCGGTGCTGAAGGGCCTGATTGAGTTTGGGGTTTGGATGGAGCCTCAGAGGAGCAGAAGAAGAGAACGCACTGGAGAAGACACACGTGTGAACAAGAGCACAAACAAGAGGCACAATCACACAACTTTACAGATTTATAACTTCAGAGGAGAGGTGAAATCATTTAGTTGTGTAATCTTTGTAATCTTTCTTAAGTTTGATTCTAATCTTTGATTAAGTGAGAGTTCAGGTGAAACACTTGGATCATTTCATCATCTGAATGTTTCCTTCTCCATTAGCCTGGAGAGGTTTTATTTTTACTCTTACAAATCAAGTATCAGTTTGATAACAGTTTTAATGCTGATATTCACTGGACATGATGCCAAATTGATTCTATTATAATTGTGTATTTTGGTTCTCAAGACGATCATCCAATCAGAAAGCAGAATGAGCCTCATGTGTTGTCCGTTCTCATGACTAAACCATCTGAAAATAATCCTAAAATGCCTTTCTTTGATCTGAACGGTCACTCCCTGAAACCCAGCTCCTGCACCAGTCATGAGTCAGTGCTAGTGCAGCCTCTGCAGCTCAGAAACGGAATTCTGGAGGTTCTGAGCTTCACATGAGGCCTGTTCATAAACTGAGAATGAGACAATGTGTGTTTCTCTATCTGCAGATTAAGGCTCTGGAGACACAGGTTCTGTTGTGCCTGGAATCACTCTTTTTAAAGGACTTCTTTCCAACTGTCACATGATTATGGAATTTGAAATTTAAATAAGACGATTCAAAATGTGTCTTCCTTCTACTTCTACATGAGTCGTTCTATCGAGGTTTATAAATAATCTGTGACTGAGTCTGGTGAGGTGAACACAGAATCATATGGTTTATGATGAGCACCTGGATCTGCAGTCACTGTGAAGAGGAGGAGGAGACAGGGAGCTGAGGAGGCTGGTGGTTCTGCTGCTGTGAAAGGGAGGGCCAGGAGACAGGAGCAGCTGAAATGACAACAACAAAAGAAGGTAGAGAGAGTGCATTTATGTGGATGTTCGGAGTGGGCAATGGTGGAAAGGAATGTTCCACAGTTTGACATTTAAAGGCTCCATGTCACACACTGTTATTATAACGTTTCATCTTCACAGACCTGGAGTTGTGTTTGTTTCATTCACACATGTTTAACACAAAAAACCTGCACATCTAGACTCTAACAGAAAAAACTCAGTTCCACCTTGTGATGTCATGTGGTAATACAGGAAGAACTCCACTGTGTTTTTAAACTCCACACACCTTCATTAGAATATTTCGGATCATTTCAGAGCCAAATCTCTACTGAATTAAAGGTAAAAGTTAAGGCTGGTTTTCAGTTCCTGCATCAGGCCCATTCAGTTGAGAGCTCAGTCCTGACACAGACAGGAAGAAGACGAGCTTCTGTGGAGCTCACCAGGGGCCAATTACAACCAAATCACTGAATGAATTATTGGTATTTACTTCCTGTGACAATAAATAATCCCATTAGGCACATGCAGACACGTCTGTGCCACTCTTCTGTTCTGAGCTGTTTTTAATCACGCACAAGGTGGCTCTGGTCTTTCAGATTAATTACGCAGTAACTTTTTGACCGTAGTGTGACATGGAAGGTGGAACATCGTCATGTACTTGCCTGTAGAAAAGTTCCACAGTGCACTTTAAACAGAGTATTAAGACATTAAGTGCAGACAGAAACTTTTTGATGCTGGTACAGAACTCGTGACAAACTGTACGTCTCACTGAACATCTCACTGTACGTCTCACTGAACGTCTCACTGAACATCTCACTGAACGTCTCACTGAACATCTCACTGAACATCTCACTGAACGTCTCACTGAACGTCTCACTGAACATCTCACTGAACGTCTCACTGAACATCTCACTGAACATCTCACTGAACGTCTCACTGAACATCTCACTGAACATCTCACTGTACGTCTCACTGAAACTGAACGTCTCACTGAACGTCTCACTGAACATCTCACTGAGCGTTTCACTGAACGTCTCACTGAACATCTCACTGAAGCGTTTCACTGAACATCTCACTGAACATCTCACTGTACGTCTCACTGAACGTTTCACTGAACGTCTCTGAAGGAGCTGCTCATGGTGGACATGATGAAGGGGAAACACACACACACATGCACACACAAACACACACACCCTCACACACGCACACTTGCTCCAGTCCTGCTACTGCACCAACACAACACGTCTCCTCTCAAACTCTCTCTATACACTGCACTGCACACGTGTGTGTCCCTCTTGTATGTGTATGTGTATGTGTATGTGTATGCGTATGTGTGTGTGTATGTGTGTATCTGTGTGTGTATCTGCGTGTGTATCTACCCACATCTGGTTTGTGGTGAATATTTGGGATGCTCAGAATGAAGAAGAAAATGAGGAACTGCAAACCACATTTGAAGACAGTAAAAATCAGACACAGACCTTTTAAAAAGCCCAAAAACAAAGTACCAATATTACAGTATAACGTTACTGTCAAATCTGAACAATTTGGGAAAAATTGAAAAAAAATTTAAGTGATTTTTTTGTGACAAGCACTGTGATAGTGATTCAATTTGCACTTTGTTTTAAAGCAGCTCTGCAGTTATAATCTCTGACACCCGCCTGCTAGATTTTGGACATTTTAAACACAGTAGAGAGCAGAGGACGTGTACAGGGAGGGTCAGAACAGGAGACAATGGCAAATTGGTGTCTTGAAAATGAGCTACTAAATTAAAATGCTTTTCTCCATGGAAATTAATGCTTTGTCTGGAATATTGAATGTTCAAAAAAAAAAAACTGAAAACACACACCAAAATTCTTGTAGAGGAGCAAATGCAAGAAGCAGCCAGACAAAAGAGAAAAAAGCATAGCACACTCAGATGGCCACTGTCCAAAAGCTTATTTATTTTCAAAATAACGTTTCAGCAAAAAAAAAGCCTTTATCAGATATTTTTCTTGCTTTGGACCACAGCACACAAAATGGTTGCCAGCCCAGGTGCTCATATCCCCCTCCAATGGGACGTCCCAAAGTGAAGTCACCGTGTGAGATCAGCCCACTCTACAACAAGAAACAACAGTTTAGATATTTACATAAAAAAACATTTTATAAAATACGGAAATAGTTTAAGTCTATCACAAAAAAACATCTTAGATCAAACTTCACATTCAGTCCATGAGGAGGGAGAGTCTTAAGTTGGTGAATCCAGAAGTGTCTCTTTTTGACAGGAGCATTTCTAGATTCCACCTCTAGGGGGCAGCTCCACGTGTTCAGTGCCAAAATATCTTAAGGAAGAGACAGGATGGTTAAAATCAGCAAAATGAGCCGCCACAGGATACTTCATGTTTTTACATCTGATTGTGCTCCTGTGTTCTGCAGTACACGTTTGTAAAGCCCTGCTTGTTTTACCCACACAGGTTTTACCACAGGGGCAGGTGATCATAGAAATATAGTGATGGGCGAGTGGAGCCTCGTGAAGCATTGACGCCTCAGTCACAATATTGTCTCAAATGGTTTGACGTGTCTGAGGCCTCGGAGAAACACTGACCTCTAGTGGACAAATTTAACCATTGGCACGATGCAGGTGTCTCAGCATCCATGAAGTATTGTTAATGTAAGACAATACTTGTGTGCAGAGCGACACCGTACCTAACAATAACAACAATAAT